CAAAGATATGTGTGAAGTCAACCAACCCGCACTTGGCCAGCGTGGTTGACTATGGCCTAGTCACCCTAACTTTAGGGTAGGCTCCGAGCCCTTCGGTGGTGACGTATAGTGAGCTGGTGATGATGAGCAGCGTTGATCATTACGGTGTAACTGCGGCTCGTTTGCTTTTTTATAAAAAAAAATCAAAGGCCATTTTTAAAGAAATGCTTTATGCGGTCTTCGTGCCATGGAATAATCTTTAATTCGATTCATCATCTTCCTTCTTAACCTACTCCCGTAGTGACGGAACAGGTTTTTGTCCTCCACATAACTAGCATACGTCATCCCAGTCATCACTCCCTTCATCATGTCACCTTTCACACAATACATCTCTTTCTATGTCTACCTCTACGGTGTACCACACTCATAACTAACGTTCTCCTTGTTACATGCGATTCATCCATCTGAATTTTTGAATCTTGACTGCGATTATTACGCCAATTCCATGGTGCACCTATTTCATATTTTTTCCCCTGTATTTATATGATGGATGTACCCTAAATATAGTCGCGTGCCTGTGGTTTCCTACCCCTTGTCTAGGACATTTATATTCTATACATTTCGTTGAGTAATTTGACTCTCAAATAGTAGTACAAAATGGATGGACTCGACTTTTTTGTTGATCGGATAGGTTTTATGTGTCATAAGGTGACAAACGAGCAAGCGGCCACCTGAATCCGCCAAAACGGCGAAACGACCGCTGCCAATAGACATTCGCAATAGCAGATGCATTGCCTACTCTTAATCGACGGAGGAAACGCACATAAAGATATTATTTATGCGTCTCCTCCAGCGTCAAATCCACGTTCCCTTCCCATTATTATCTTAGAAGTAAGGGTGGGAAAGAAAAGGGACTAAAGTTGGGCTTCCTGCCCCACACTGTTCAGATGAAACGTTGAATTGCTCCCACTTTACGCCTGTCTTCTGTGTGACCGTGGTATTAAGCCGGGCGAGTCCACCCATTCGTGCGAAAATGTTAAAGTGGGCACTACCACTGGTAATTTATTGTTAATTGTTAAGTGTTAAGTTACTGGGTTGTGAATTTAATTC